GTATAGAATAGTTTTATATACATATATGCATTTATGTACATAAAATTACTGACGTAAATAACAAAGTCATCGATTCTTTCTAGCTAATGAATTACAAAAATACAATTTTTAAAAACTAGAATTTGCGATACCATAAATTGAATATAAGACTACAATAAAAAACGCGATAAAACTCCTGTCCAGTTAAAAAATTAAAAGGAAAAATAAAAACGGAATTTAATGGAGGGAAAACGCGACCCACACCAGAACGAGCAACACACATCGACGAGGGCCATCAGTTACTCCTCTCGTAGGGAGACAGCTCGAATTCAAAAACTTCGATCAGCCGATATGTAGAACGGTACGCTATACAGCAAGCAGGAACTGTACGTTCCGGCGGTATCGGTGTTATCGTGTTCTATTCGCAACTTCTCGACCGCAATAAATCCTCATCCCTTCTCTCACTCTCTTCTCTCTCTCTCTCTCTCTCTCTCCCTCTCTCTTTCTTCTTGACACCTGCTTTTTTCTCCGCGCGATCCCACCGGAGTACAGACGGATTTCGAGATTTCGCGATGGCTCGCGGGACACCGAAGGTTGTAAGCTCGTTCGTCACTTTGGGTTGGAGATGGAGGACGAGGGCAAACTTACCTTCACCGTCAGGTTTCCGATGGGGAAAGTCTTGACGGGCGGACTCTCGTTCGGAGCATAGCGATAAAACTCTCGACCCCCTTTGTACCACTTGACGGCATACAATGGGTCGCCCTCGGTGTCATACCAACATTTCAGCGTCGCCGAGTCGCCCTTCCTCACGGCCGTCGGTATCTGAATGTGCACTCCCCGCAAACCCGAACAGATTCCTGAGAAAGAGAGAAAGAAAGAATAAGGTTCGTTAAAATTACATTTTATTCGTGTCGTCTATGCCGCCGGGCATCATATTATACACTCGCGTTTGTCGTTGAAACAGCGTTCTGGTATGCTCCAGCTCACGTTGTGCGCTTATCGGGACGGATGATCTTGCTGAAGTTATTAGGGCACGTGCAGGACGCAGAGACTCGCGCGTATATGGATCCGAATCTCAACTCATGATCCCCCCGAGGGAAAAGAGGAAATGAAAGCCGAAGGTGAATTTCTGCCGTGTCATGTCATGAGAGGCGGCTGAATATCGCGATGCATACCTCATCGATTACGTTCGCGGACAGTGTTTCCCAAATAGGAAAAGTGACGATGGGCTTTCGCCGTTCGCGTTTGAGAGAGTAAGCTAAAATAAAGGCGCTCTACGTCACATTATATTCTGTAACTATCGATTTTAAAGTCCCAGCGATGGTCTACTTCGATTTCGTATTCCGTATGGCCCACTCTTTCGTGACTCAATCTTCCATTAAATATTATCTTGATATGATACGCATGAGAATAATAATTTGTCATTGTAATTACTCGACCTTCGTATAAAAACATTGTATTCGTTCTTTATCGTTCATATACACTACTATAATACTACACGCTCGACAGAACGAAAAATCGATGAAAGATATATTATTATGTTAATTAAAGATTATATTTCCTCTGATCTTTCTATCGTAAGGAAGTCTCATCTTTTAATTATATCAAATGATCTTATACAACGAGCTTGAGAACCACTGAGCTTCGCAGACAGCCACGGTTGATTATCAGAGTGACATCGTCATTACGCGGAAATCCTCGTAATGAAAGCAACCGCGAATATAATACGAGCTCGCGAGAAATAGTTTCTTTTAATAACGGCGGGCGCATAACGCACTCAACTCGATCTGCGGATTCGAAATTATTCGGTGAATCCCATGTTGGCCGCCGGAATCCTTTATCGATCGCGAATAGAATCCTTCCTGCGTTCTGCTCCGTTCTCCCCTTCCTAGACTCCTCCTTCCTCTACCAAATATTCTCATTCACGAGGAATGGGATCGATCTCATGCGAGAAACAGAATTTACGCGTTCTCGAAATGGATCTTGTCGCGGCGGCGCCTTTCGCGGAATTTCCACGTGTCAATGTATTCGAAAATCGTTCACTTTTCCAAACGGTCCCATTTTCCAAAATTATTTATGTCACGCGTTTTGCGCAAAAGATTATACAATAAATTTATAAACGTTCCATATGTCGATCAATGGGAAGAAATTCCATTAACGGCGAAAATTTTAAAAAGGATGTATAGCCTTGGTCAAAAATATTAGGCATCTTATTAATCATTAATTTAAGGCTCATATTTTTAACCCAAAAATTTATTCGTCAAATTTGCTGTAAATTATTCTTTGTTTCAAGAACCCTTTAAACTTATGTATAATTTGATTAACCAACAATATAGATAAAAAAATAAACGAAAAAAATATAAGTGACTAATATTTTTAGCCAACGCTGTGTGTTGTCTAAAAACAATATCAAAAATATAAAATTTTCATAGATCGTTCTATTTTTATGTATAAGTATTTATGTAAAATTTAAGTTAACAATTCTTTATTAGTTTAAAAGTTATTTAATTTTTTAATTTATTCTTAATTTTTACGTAAAATTACGTTTTATAATACCTATTTAATTGCAAATTTGATAATAAAGCAACATTAAGAATTTAATCAAATTTTTTTATACACATACTAAAAACAATTATAAATATTCGTACAAAAATTTATTTAGATCCACCCACTCGTTTAAAAATTATTGACCTAAAACTGCAGCAAATATCCATTTTATAGTATAAAACCATTATAAGTGAAATTATTTGTTTTATTTGTGTAGTTTATTTTGTGTAGGGACGTAATTATAGGCTAATATTATCAAAATTTTTAAAATAATCTTAACTGACATTACTCAATTAGCTTATTTTAGCTGCTTGTTCGACTGATATTTTTTACTAATATTGTCAAATATTATGTATGTCAAGTTATCCTTAATCATATATTATAAATATAGCTTGAAAATAAGAATATAAAACTAGAGTTGTATAACGCATCATCATGACTTGTTACCGTATTCAATCAAGAAACAAACTTTATGGTCAGCAAACTTTTAAGTTAGAGATTCTGTTTATGTAAAGAAAGTCTGTAGTATTAAAGTTTTTGTGTAAATGATTCATGCAGTACGCAACGATTTCAATGCGACATTTTTACCCAAGTTTCCACGCCAAGGAAAAATTCTTAGCGTTTCTTTCCATAGGATCGATATAACGTCGGCTCGCAGTTTCACGGATTGGACGAAGAATTTTGGAGGAGTATCGTAGGAAAATATTGCCTCAGCGCATTAAAGGGTGAGACGATGGCGGGGGAAAAGGGACGTAATGTTCCTCTACCCCGTTTAGAGGCACTTGGCGGGACTTACGGGGTATTTAGTAACAAAACCACGAGGGCACTCTCTCGCGGCTGGTCGTTAGTCGTTAATAAAAAGTGGATTTGCGGCGAGCGTAGCGACGACTGACGAGGAAGAAAAGGGTTGAGGTGACAACCCGCCCAAGACCGTCGTCGTCGTCGTCGTCGTCGTCGTGACGGCAGAATGTAACGAACGTGCCGTCGTGCGAAAGAAACAGATAAGCACGCACGACGCTCCTCGTAAACGCACTTATGTAGCACTCTCGAATAAGGATGATGGCCGTATTAACGAGTTCGAATTTATTTCGAGCTATCCAAGTTTTTTGCAGTATATCAAACGATGTATTCCCTCACAATCACAAAAAAAGAGAAGAAAAAGAGAAAAAGAGAAGTGGATGCGCAAATAACGCTTCGCAATAATTTCCATTTGCTTAGTGTACCTAGTGGCGAAGTAGGTAATATCAATCTGCTCGAGAGACAGCGGCTCGATTCGGAATATTCGATGCCGATATGAGAGCGAGTTCAGCTTAATTCGCTTACACTAATGGCGATACGCTCGGTTTAACGGACGGCTCTCGCGCAATGAATGCGATTTCGCCCGATCGGACAATCGCACGGACGGATCTCCAGAACGGATATGACGTTCGGTAGAGCGATCGGTTTAATTAGCTGCCGAGTGAAGCGACGAATCGCATTTGCGGAGTGGGAAAGAGAAAGAGACACAGGAGGCCCGTATCGTCGTGCGCTTCGACGCTTCGCATCCCTATACGCTCCAATAGGAAGCTTATCTTTTGTGTGCCGGCAAAAGACTCGCTCGCACAATCGGACGAAAATTACCGACGAGAATGAGCACGCATGAGACTTTGATTCGAGATTTCACATACGGAAATGTTATCTGTTTTCTGCTATTTTTGGCACAAATTGATAAAGTGAGTATGCCGTAATAATGAAACAATCGCCGCCGACGCGCATCGTTATCTGCGTTATAAATGCGTAGATAGGCGAAGTTTCGTTCTTTTTTTTTCGGAAAGGGAGAAAAAAGGATTATAACTCGCTTTTTACACAGTAGAGTCCCGCTTGTAAAAATATCGTGCTAATGCAGACGAGATATCTCGCGCTTAATATCGGGTTTCGGAATCCGTTCAATTTGAAGCACGGTGCTCGTTTTCAAGCGAGATGTTTGTTAACGTCAGATGTGCAGGTTTCCATGACGTAGACGATCGCATGGAGTATACATTTTAACACTTCATTTATCAAACGTTATTATTTGTTAGAGGAATTGAAAACGGTATAATTCCAGCGAGAGTTTATTTCTCGATATCACATCTCTGCTATCCATTTTTATTGCGACGAAGAAATGTAGGAGTGAAATTATTTTCGCGCAAAGTCTTAATTCGCCAATTTCAATATATAATTAGTATACGTCACATACGAGAGATGATCATTTATTATCAATGTCAACGATCTCGATAATTTTAATTTGCTGATTGATAATTTATATATTGTTAAATGAAACAACAAGAATATATTTCCTCGACATCATGTACAAGTTATGTTCTTCTCGCAATAATTTGTACATGACAGCGAAAATTTGCATATTGAACAAAATTCTCACTAGGAAAGAGCTTATTTGGCAGAATTATTCTGAAATACATGTGTGTGTATGTATATATAATATATATATATTTTATATCTTACTAAATTCGAATGAAACAGAAAAGAAAAACTTTTCTTGTGACCCATTCATATTAGGAAGTATGTCTTAATAAAAAATTATCAAGTGCAAATTCACGAAAGAGATAGATTCCTAAATGTCAATCTCTATACGATGTATTGGCGGTGATGCTGATTGTAAGTCAAACATTAGTCAGTCTTTAATCTCTTGGGTGCAGGTTCGCTGTTTTGTGAATTCGAGTCTTCTGAAAAGCCCAAATGTGCAGAGAAATCTGTCAGTCCTTGAGAATCACTAACAGTAGAGAAACCTAGTATGTAAAAAAATTCATATTTTATGTTAATCAATGA